TCATCACTTTCTTACACTACTTTTTAAAGGCAGCTATCAATGGATAAATAGATATAAGTCTAAAGACAAATCAGTAGCAAACAGTACATTGCCATTACAGTACCATTGACGGTCTGGCATGCAACGCTTGATGATTGTAGCACTGATCAAAAAAAGTCCTGGCAGACTGTGGGCACTGCTTTGTCCCATAGGCAAGTGCATGAAATTCATGCATAACTTATAACACAATATCTGTATGGATTTATATATTAATGAGATTATGAATTAATACTCAGTGAATAAATGCCATAGCTATGATCATCATGTATAAAATATTTAATATTAATTATTTATGGGTTAATATGTTGTACAGATTAATAAATTGACCATAGTGAAATTAGCACTGATTAAATAAGCTTGTCACCCAAGGGAATATACTTAACCATAAGCAACAATTACCACGTTTACATGCACTTCAATTTAATATTCCGGTGCATATGCTCAATGACTTTGGAATACTTCAATATGTATTCATGTTCCTCTACAGGAAGTACTGAAGACATCCTCTCTGGTTATTAATTAGCAATGGAGAATAGTAATTTAAATCAACTCATTAAATTCTTCTTATCTCACTGCAATAGCATCTGTATTATTTTCATATCACTGAGATACAACAATTGTTTTTTTTATTAATAATTTAAATTTTATATATATATATATATATATATATATATATATATTTTTATATTTTCTGTTTTAAATTTTAATTATAATTTAGTTTTTTTTTTATCTTTATAGTTTTTACACTTTTATTTCCATTTTAGTTATTTTAGTACATCAAATTAAACTAAATGAAAATAGTCTTGGCAGCTAGCTAAAATATACGTTTTTTTTATTTTAGTTAAGTTCAAGTTTATTTTATTTCATTTCAAGTAACAAAAATATTTTTATGTTTTTTGTTTTAGTTAACTATAATAACAGCACAAATGAGTTAAGAAGAATTAAGAACAATAAGTACAATTTAAAAAGAAAATTGACATGACAAACTTCTGGTTAATGTAGCAAAATCCATGTACACGCAAATGCAGTCACTGAAACGTCTGCAGAAATAGACCTTCTCGATTAATGGAAGATAGCAGAAATTTCTTTCACAAGAATGTCTTTTCCACCCTTATTTAGGTCAACTGTGTTCTGTCCCAAGCAAAATGAAAAATCTAAATATTCGCTTTGTGAATGCATGCAACCATCACAAGTTGGGCGGTCTCAATGCATCCCTTTCCAATTCTTTGCCATCTTTGCATTAAAAATCTGTGTAGGCAATGATTTTTTTTTTGTCATTTCTAGCAAACAACCTAGTGTTCACAGTTTAAATTACTTTCCATCAGCCAAGCCACCCTGCAAGATATATATGCAGAGGACTTGACCCTCATTCATGTATACTTTAAAAGTAATCTATGGCTGCTTTAATGCACAGAGACAGAGCTGAACTGCAGAGCAGACTGGATTAGTATTCAGGTACTGTGTGTTGCAAGTCTCAGCACCAATACACATCAAATGAGACTGCAATAACAACACATGCAGGCCAGGGAACGAGGCAAGATAAGAACAGGAAATAGGGTGAAAAAAAGCTAAACATGTGCAAACACACACAAGCATACAGACTTTGTGTTTTGACTGGTAAAGCCCAGCATGGATGACAAGTCTGTTTTGTGGAGATAAGAAAAGGTATTTATTGACTTGAAACACACGGACACGAAAACACACACAAACGGCCATTAACGACACTTTTGTAGACACCTTCTTATCTCCTCTAACATGTCATGGTCTGTCTAGAACTACATAAGTTAAAGATAGTTAGGGTTCTTTTATGCAAGGATTTTTACTTTTATAAATAAAGAGATAAAAGCAAATAGGTGTTAAATACAGTATTTGTAGATTAAATAACTTAATATGTTTAATCTTGCAAAACCTGTAAAATCTTACTTGTCTATGCATAAAGTTAATAAAGAAGTTTAGTGAAGGATATACCGTTGCGGCATTTGGTTGCTGTGGGCAGTCAAAGCAAAGAAGAGGAAGACACAATTATTGCAGACAGTATATTATTTATTCCACAGCGCTCCTGAATGGAATGCTTGAGTTAATCTCAGGCAGTAGTTTTCTTATGTAGTTTGCATTAAATTGATCAAAATTGACAGTAAAGACATTTATAATCTTACAAAAGATTTCTAGTTCAAATAAATGCTGAAATTCTTTTAAACTTTTAATTCATCAAATAATCTTTGAAAAAAAGGGGTCATGGTTTCCACTTAAATATTAAGCAGCAAAACTGTCTTCATCATCGATAATAAAAAATATATGTTAATTGAGCACCAAATCACCATATTAGATTTCTTAAAGATCACGTGACTGAGGACTGGAGTAATGGCTGCTGAAAATTCAGCTTTTCCATCACAGAAATAAATTACGTTTTAAAATATATTAAAATAGAAATCAGTTATTTTTAATTATTTATTTTTTTTATACAGAATTTTTACTGTATTTTTGTTCAAATAAATGTAGACTTGGTGAGCATATGACTTTTAAAAAACTTTAAAAAATTACCAGGCCCCAAATTTTAAACGGAAGTGTATCTATATTATACACATATACATTTGTATAACTATAAACATATATGTTAACTGAGCACCAAATCACCATATTAGATTTCTTAAAGATCACGTGACTGAGGACTGGAGTAATGGCTGCTGAAAATTCAGCTTTTCCATCACAGAAATAAATTACGTTTTAAAATATATTAAAATAGAAATCAGTTATTTTAAATTATTTTTTTTTTATACAGAATTTTTACTGTATTTTTGTTCAAATAAATGTAGACTTGGTGAGCATATGACTTTTAAAAAACTTTAAAAAATTACCAGGCCCCAAATTTTAAACGGAAGTGTATCTATATTATACACATATACATTTGTATAACTATAAACAATATCCTGCAATCAAATGCGTTTCTTGTTCTTGCATACTACTGCATTTTGTCTGTGAAGAGACCATAAAACTGATTCTAATCTGAAGAGCACAAGTCCATCTCACCACTGAAAAGACAAAAATTTGTTGTCGACATACAGTATGCATTGTTTGTGTGCGCTTGATTCTTAGCATGAGTCAGCTGAGCTTGCTGTGAGGCTTGCGTCAGCAAAACCAGAACCCAAAAGCTGACACAATATCAGAGAAAAGAGGAAAAGAAAAAAAGTGAAGTACAAAAACAGAAACAACTACAGAGAATGACAAGGCCAGACGCAGGGCCAGAAGAACAGCAGCCATCGGCGTTGTCGTTCCTCATTGTTGTCAGCTGTAACGTAGTCAATGGTGCAGTGAGACTGACCCCGGGAGCAAGCAGCAGACAGACCTCCTCAACCAGCTGCTATTAATTAAACCCCACCAATCCTGCTGCAACACACTCGCAAAACAAACCTAACAACAGTACATTCGGCAGCACATTCGTAAAGTCAGATTCCAAATATCTAAAAGGGGTTTTCACACCTTAAAATTTATATATTCACTTTTGTCTCATTCCCAGAAAAAGATGAAATATATCTCAAGCTGTCAGAATGTGTTTCTATAGCCTTATTAGAGCTAGCATTGGTAAAATCCTTTATTTTTTTCACAGCCCACTATGACCAATTGAGGTCTTGTTAGCAGAAGTTTACTGCAGACTCAGAATCCAATGTTGGCTTGATGCCACAGGAGCCAATAGTCACCCGCTGATCTCATGCATGCAAGGAAAAACAGTAGCTGTGTACTGCATTACTGAAACGGTAATGTAACTTTTACAACATATATATACACTATGGTTTTCTAATGTAAATTAGTTACTAATGCCATTACAGTCAACTGAATCAACATATGAATTAAAAAATGCTGTTCATTCTCCATAGACTTAAAGGATAGTTGCCACAAAACAGAAAATTCTGTCATCATTCTGTGGAACAAAAAAAAGAAGATATTTTGAACAATGTTTCAACTGATTTTGTCCAAATAGCCAAAGTCAAGGATCCAAAACAACATTGGACGCCACTGACTTTCACTGACATTTTGCAATCTTCTTGTGTTGCATAGAAGATTTATGGGTTAGGAACAACATGAGCATGAGTATAAGACAGAATTTTCATTTTTGGATGAACTATCCCTTTAAATTTGAAAGAGCACAGGTTTGTCAGATAAGGAGAGTTGCTCAGGTAGAGCAACATTTTTAAGGTCGGGTTAGCAAAGGGTCAATTAGTCTAGAAATTGGAGGAATGAACTGGCAATCCTGGAGTGGCGTGAAGAAAAGTAAGTTTTCTTTTGAGGGAACATTTAATTCAAAAGGGTATTTAATTTAAATTAACAGCCAAAGATAACATCCTAATGCGTAAAACGCTACGGGCATTTAACAACTTCTTAAAACTTTGTGTAAAGTAGGGAATGAGGAGCAACCCTTGTCAGAAGGACAATTATATCCAGCAGCAGGAGAGATTTAAAATTCACCAGCAGCTATTTCTGCTCTGATAGAAGAAGCACTGAGACAAATGGTGAAACAGACGGCAAAATGAAGAGGAGACATAATCTGGCATGCACAATTAAAGGAACAGTTAACCAAGAAATGAAAATTGTCATCATGTATTTATTATAATCATGTTTGATGTCATTTGTCATTTTTGGTGTCATTTTTCCCATCAAGCACGAAATGAGAATTTTTTTGTAGAATCTTTATGCAGCTATTTTTCATACAGCTCACAGTGACATTACAGCTCATAGTGGCTTTCAAGCTCAAACAAGGACCAAAATACATCACAGAAGTAGACCATAGAAATAGTTTACTGTATTCTGAAGCCACACAATATATTTGTGTGAGAAATAGGCTAAAATATAAGTCATACTTTTGTGTTCCAAGGGGGAAAAAATCAAGGAAAATAATAAATAAATGGCAGAATTTTCATTTCTTTGGGGTGAACTATTCACACTTGCACATATCAATAAAGTCTCACCTCGGGCCGCGAATCTTTGATGAGAACCTTTCAGCCAGTTTCTCCAGACTGCGAGAATACTCCAGTTGAATCTCAGCTTTGCGCCGAAAAAACTCCTGCAGGTCTTGCAACAGCTGGATCCGAGCCTCTGATTGCTGCTCCAGGCACTTGAACTGCTCCACCAACTGATTACGGATCTCTGAGCAACAGAGTACACATAAACACATTAGTTTGACTCAGCACAATTCTGACATGTACATATACAAAGCTAGTTGGATTCAGATGGACTTTCTCTTCTCAAATAGGCTAAATCCATTATTTAAACCATACAGCTACTGACCAAAGAATTTCCATGATTATTCCAGTCGTTTGTGACTACTGGATACAAATTTTGGGAGTGCTTTTGTACTCCTTACACACATGGAACAATCATTTAGGTTACTCGCAAAACTTTGCAGTGTGTGCGTGGACAAAATATATTCCATCATCCGTATGAAGGAAAACAATCTACCACTTAATAGGAAATCTGTGTGCAAATTGGTAAGGGAGAAATGAAGAAATATATATTTAGCACACCAAGTAAGAACTGTGCTTTGTCCTTTAATAAAAAATGGATGAGACTGAAATCCACACTTGTTCTAAGCTTTACAGCTGTTCCTTACCAAACGAATACATGTCAACCCTCCCAATTTTCCCAGGATTCTCCCGTATTTTACCATTCTATCCCGCTATCATCCCATTTAAATATTTTCCCGTATTTTTAATCTTTCTATATTAAAAAAAAAAAAATCCAACTGGGCATATTTTATGTTTGCTACATTCGCTTACGGTAAAACTCCCGTAATTTGTATGGGCCAAACCTCATTATATGAATAATCACCACAACAAATTCCGAGGTTGTCCAGTTGCCAGATCTTGTATGAAACGCATCTTTCTCACACGATCGACGCATACAAATTTCAACCCATTTGTCCCCTCAACTTGGCAACCTACAGCCCAGTGATGCTATTGATATGTGCGCAGTTAGTACTGCGTGAAGGAAACAATGATCACTGGTAGAAATGGGAGGAGAAGACTCAGGTGGTGCTCCAGTGAAAAAAAACTAAATGTAAATTTACATGTATAATGAGATATAGCTTACACTTTAAAAGGCTATTTAATTGGTTAAATATGAGCGCTGCAAGTTTCAAAGTCAGGTGCGGCGTTGCTTTGTTTACTGCGGCTATATTCCTGGCAAAAAGCGCCACCTGCTGGCAGAGAATGAATTTGCATTTTTCAATAAGCCCTTCTGCTCTTTGTTTAGACCAAAGCCAAAAACGACCCTTATTTTTATGCAGAAAACACGCAGTTGTAAATGTGAACTGATGGATCGACAAGAAGTAATAAGCCTATTTAGCCTATACTAAGATATATTTATGTTACTAAATGAATATAAATGTTTGTTAATACCGTATTGACTCGAATATAAGACAATGTTTTTTTCTTTTTTCTTTTTTCATTAAAAAACGCGGTCGTCTTATATTCAGGGTCTAGAATTTGACATGTCAATAATACACCCACAACAATAGATGTCGCCAAATACGCATAATACGAGTGTGCCATGAAATACATAATGTAATGAGTGTTGTAAAGATCGCGAGTAAAACTTTACAGCTGCACGTTAGCCTGACGGGACCAAACTCCCTTTGTGATTTTAAAACGTAAGACAGTACCCAGATTTGAAGTCTACAGTAAGATTTAACTTCTACTGTTAATAAGATTTTGGTATTAGATGGATAGCCTAAATGTCCTAATTCAGAAGGGCTACCAGTTTTTTTTTTTTAATGGTATATCAAAAAGTGTATATTTTTTAAATGTGATTGTTGGTACATTTTACCAGTTTTTACCATACTTTCAAAACAAAAATTTACTGCGAAAAAACAAGATTTGGTTTTTAAAAAGCCTTTTTCCAAAAGGTACATTTGGAAAAAGGGGGGTCATCTTATATTTGGGCCAATACAGTAATTGTTTAAATTAATATAAAAATAAAAGAATATAATATAATATAATATAATATAATATAATATAAAAATTGTCACTTTTGACTCCAACCCCAAGTAGTCATCCAACAACAAAACTGATTCGTGAGGTTTCCTGGATTAACTATATATATAATATACAGTATATGTATACACATGTATATACAAGCAAAAATTTACTATATATATATATATATATATATATATATATACAGCATTTGCTACAATGTAAAAAAAAATGTTTCTATATTTTAAAAAATGTATAATCATTTGCAAATACATATTTTGCTCTCCATATATTTCATTTAAAGAAAATACATTCACATATGTCACAATTTGAGAAAAACGTTGTTGTCTATAACACATTTTAATAAAAATCAGCAAGGAACATGCATTAAAATACTCAATCAATCAATCAATTACATGTTCAATTAAATTTGGAGTACTGTAAGATTCAGTTTCAAAAACGTTGCTTTTTACAACATTACAACTATATATATATATATATATAATTTTTTTTTGCCAAATGGGAAGGCATTTGTCTGTACGCATGATTTTATATTTTGTCTATGCATTATCTTTCCATTCATTAGCTTATATCCGTTCTTATAAAGTGTCAAAAAAAAAAACATCTCATCCAAGAATGCTAACATTTGAGGTCAGAAAACAATGGATGACTGACCTTCATGACTCTGCTTTTGTAAGACCATGGCAGATAGTTTAGCTATGAAACCTAACCTGCCAGTGGCTATTTTATAACTTATATGTCCACTGGCCTTTTTGCCACCTTTCTTAATAACTGGTAGCTTTCCTACGCCAGCTTTATGGGTGGCCGGTGATGCAGCTCAAGCAACATCCTTATTAGTACAATAAGGTTAATTAGTGTGTGATGCCATTGAGCAAATTCCATTTTCTGTTGTAACCTTGGAGAATTTTTCATGCAGCTCACAAAACGGACGTGTCACGCTGATGGTTGAATACCAGAGCTGAATTAGTCAGTGCAAAGGTATAATCATAAATCTGATTTGAAATGACTAGAGATGTTCGTAAAAAAACAAAAATCTGTCTGTCAGGAAAATAGGGTGAGCTTTAATGGGCGTCTTTTCAATTTTCCTTTTTTTTTCTGCAGACAGGCGTGAAAAAAGACTTATTTACATGCAATTTGGACACTATACATATATATATTTTTTTTCATTATTTCCAGATAAACCATCTGCACAGTACAAAACTATGACATTTATTGGTTTGAACAAACTAGAAGCATTATTTTC